CATAGAATCATAGAATCATAGAATAGTTTGGGTTGGAAGGGACCTTTAAAAGTCATTTTCCTTCATTAGGGCTTTGGGTACAACGATGTTGTTTGAGATCCCCGCAGCCTAAAGCTGCCTATTGCGTTTGAACCGGGTGATGATGTTGATATCCAAATCCTGGTTTGATTTCCTAAACTTGGCTGGAGACGCGGCCCTGACTCAATGAGCGCGTTATCTAAACACAGGCGCTCGGGAGCTGAGTGTTGTGCTGACTTAACGCATCTCCTCCCAGTGTGGCTGGGAATGTGAAAACTTTCTGATCACGTCGTCCTGCCCACAGGGAAAAAAAAAAAAAACCAAACCAATAAACCCCCCCAGAAAAATGTAACCACGTATTTGGTAATGCAGAGGGAGGCGAGGGAAGGCATTGTTACATGGGTGTGCGTCTGTGCATGCACACACACGTGATTATATCTAGAGTAGCTACAAACCCATGGCACCCTCCTGAACCTTGCCGTGCGGCAGGCGGTGGTGAAATGCATTTGACTGATAAATCAGAAGCAGAGCGTGTTCACAGCCCAGGTCGGCAGAGGCGGCGCTGCCGGGTCTTGCCTGCGATTTGCCTCTGCTCTAGACGGGAAGGGCTGGTGAGAGATGGCTCTTGCCTTCTGGCCCCGAGAGGGGATCAGATGTTTGCCGAGACTTTTGGCTCATGGTTAGTTTGATGTTGCGCTTCAAAACCTCCCAGGATGGGCAGGCGTTTGTCCCAGCGGTGGCATTTAGGCGACAAAGCCTTGCTGAAGACCAACAAGCCACACGGGACCTCCTCAGCCCACATATTTATTGTCTATAAACCATGCTCTACAACCACCAAAACCCCTGTCCTCCCCACCCCTTCAGTCTCACAGTGACTTGTTGTTATTATACGCTTTTTTTAGCCGTATCTATCCTCTGATCTGCTTCCCCGCATGCTCACAAATCCACGCTGGTGCTGGGGACGCAGGTGGGATGAGCAGGCTGTGCAGGGATAGTTGTGCTTTTCACTGGCAATGCCAGTTTAGCTGCACATTGCGCCACAGTCCGGGTCCCTAGGCACTTTTTAAAATAGGTGTCTGGGCAATATTTTTAGAGGTATTTAAACATCTGAAGATATCGAGAGTTGCTAGTGTGGATTTTCAAGAAGCACTTAGTTGCCAGTGTCCTGTGGGAACTTCCGAGAACCTTGTTAGACAGCTGCCAGCACAGGTAGATGCCTTAATAGTCATAAACATTTTTGGACTTCAAAATTTAATAGAATCATCGAATCATCGAATCACAGAATAGTTTGGGTGGGAAGGGACCTTTAAAACTCATCGAGTCCAACCCCCCTGCCATGGGCAGGGACATCTTCAACCAGCCCAGGGTGCTCAGAGCCCCGTCCAGCCTGGCCTGGGATGTGTCCAGGGATGGGGCATCTCCCACCAGCTCTGGGCAACCCCTTCCAGAGCCTCACCACCCTCACCTTCTTAGGTAGCTTTAAAAGTGCTGCCCTCTGACTCTTCTGCTGTTGGGGATAGTTGAAAACTAATACAAAAAATGAATTTCTCAGTAAAATTTTTAAAAATGAGACAGTAATTGTTATTTTATGAGCAGGCTTCTGCACGACAAAAGGATGAATACATGATGGGTCATAGTCATCTTACTGCAAGTTTAACTCATGAGCTAACCCTTTCCCAGTATGGCATCAAAACTGGGGCATTCGGACAAGCTTCTACCTTTCTAAAAGCTGGTGACTGCTTTCAAATAAGCTTAAAAAGGATACCTCCCCATGCTCTGGAAGGAGGGCTCGACACCGCTTACAAGTGTGTCTGTCTGCCAAAAATAGATTTGCATATAAATACTGAAGTAAGCCAGGCAGCTGAAAAACATGCATTTCCTCAAGTTAAAGTTATTGTGCCCTCTGTTCTCCTCACTTCTATGTGTTTCTACAGTTGAGCTGAGCTTTCTAGCATCCTCTGCATAGCTAATTGCATTTAAATAGTTAGAGGATTTATTATGTGGGCAGCATGATTTTGCACGCCTCCTTCTCTCTGTCTAGTCTCAGAGCTGTCTGTCCATCTGTCCACATTTCCCACCGTAGCAGCCGAGCTCCTGATGTCTCCCCTGGGTCTTCTCATGGTCTCGAAGCCTTCAGAAAATTCTAAAGAGATTTCCCATCTGTGATATTTGTGGCATTTCTCCACTGGTGCTGAGACTATCTTGGCATGAAGACTCCAGAACTCACTTTCAGTAAGAGTTTGGTCTGACAAGAAATGAATTTTGAATGCCAACCATTGCTCCTGGTATCTCGTTTCTGGTAAGGTTTTATTTACCAAAAAGACACAGAGCCTCATCAAAATGCAATTTGCTGAGCCCTGGCTCTTGATTGAGAAACTACTTCTCAAAGCCAAAGGCAATTTTCCATGTAAAAAGAAGACTAAGGGTGTAACATAGGTGTGTTTTGGGAATTGTGAAAGCCATGCTACAACTTGGCATGAGCTGCAGTGCTTGCCTGCCATAGGGCTTTGCAGTGAAAGATCAAAATAAAGATAAACATAAGCAGGGAAACAACCACAATGGATGAAAGGTGAAAAAAAAGAGTAGTATATCCTAGGGAGACTGTTACTATACCACAAAAGCATTAGACTTCTTAGTCATGGAGTGCTACCATTTGGTAGACACAGTTGTATCTTTTTTAATTTTCTCCTGCCTTATAGGGTGTGTTTCTGGGTAGGGTCAGTGTTTGGCAAATTGAAGATGAAAATCTGTAAACCACGCCACGCTGATGAAGACAGTAACTGTCTCCTCCTTCACGCCCATGCAAACCCAGCCCACCTCCAGAAACAGATAAAAGAGAGCATCTACTGCCCGCGAGTCAGAGGGACTTACTTCCCTTCTCTTCGCACTCATCTCCTTGCAGCACAGATCCATTGATCTTTCTTATCTTCTCAATTTTTGACTCCACTTAGAAGAAACAGCCATGTCTCGGCAGTCTGTCTGCAGAAGCTTTGGAGGCGGGAGTAGAAGGGGCTACAGCTCTTGCTCTGCCATCGGTGGTGGCTTTGGAGGAGGTGGCGGCAGAAGCAGGAGCAGCTACAGCTCATACTCTGTGAACAGGGGATTTGGAGGTGGCCGTTGTGGAGGGTTTAGCAGCAAGAGTCTCCATAACATAGGTGGCAGTGGAAGGATTTCCATGGGTGGATGTTATGGTGGTGGAGGATATGGAGGCAGAATGGGTGGCTTTGGTGGAGGCTACGGAGGAGGAATGGGTGGCTTTGGTGGAGGAATGGGTGGAGGAGGAATGGGTGGCTTTGGAGGAATGGGTGGTGGTGGAGGAATGGGTGGCTTTGGTGGAGGAATGGGGGGCTTTGGTGGAGGAATGGGTGGTGGAGGAATGGGTGGTGGAGGGATGGGTGGCTTTGGTGGGCCTGGCTTTGGCATGCCAGGCTTTGGTGGCCCTGGTAGAGGCGGCCCTGGAATCCAGCCAGTGCAGGTTGACCCAACCCTCCTACAGCCAGTCCGTGTTGAGATTGATCCCCAGATCCAGCAAGTGAAAAACCAGGAGAAGGAGCAGATTAAGACTCTTAACAATCAATTTGCCTCCTTCATTGATAAGGTGAGAGGGTGGGACTGTGTCTAATTAAGGGTCAAAATTGGGAGGAACTTTCACGTTCTGCAGAAATGTCCTTTTTGAGGTAAATATCAGCAGACTGAGAAGCTTGAGCAGAGTCTTTTTATTAAGTACTGCTTGGGAGGAGATGACAATCTCTATTCCACACGAGATCAAAGCTATGTCTTCGGGGCTTTAATCTAGCCTGTTGCACCAGGCTCAACTAATAGGTTACTCTTGCAAGCAGGCTCAACGCCTCCAAACATCTTCAGGTTTCAGGCACAAATTTTCCCTTCTGTACCATTCTCTTTGCAAATACCCTCCCATTTAAATATTCACTAATATAATTTTTTTCTCTTTGTTTTCAAATAGCAAGGCTTTTAAAGCTAGACTAGAAATCTGAGATTTCTGTACTGCCAGCAATGGGAATGTACTTGGAGCTGGTGCTACATTTAAATGATCCTTTGACTTGAATACCACTTAGAAATTTCCTCCTTTTTCCTGATTTTGCAGTTTAGGCAACGAAAGAAATAATAATAAAAAAGTTAACTGGTTCTCTCATCGTCAGGCAAAGGAGAATCTTTTTATGTGATGAAAGGGTGCCTTGGCTGCTGCTGTTGTTCCACAAGTGATGGTGGATGCTCCATGTGTTGGCTTTCAGGTCCGCTTCCTGGAGCAACAGAACAAGGTCCTCTCCACCAAGTGGGAGCTCCTCCAACAGCAAGGGCCGTCAGGGCCAAGGAAGAACCTTGATGTCATCTTTGAAAATTACATCCAGAACCTGAGGAGGCAGCTGGACTCAATCTTGGCACAGAGGGGGCAGCTGGAGTCAGAACTGCAGAACATGCAGCAATATGTTGAGGACTACAAAAACAAGTAAGTGCAGTGACAGTCTAACCCAGAAAGCAACTCAAGCAACTTGGTAGTCATTTTCCCTCACACACATGCTTTTTATGGCAATTGTGGACATAGTTTTTTCAGTCAATATTTTTTTTTTTCTTTTAGTTTGTTTAGTGTGGCCTTAGGCAGGAAAATTCAGGAAACTCAGCTTGCATTTTTACTCTCTGTAGGTATGAGGAAGAGATCAACAGGCGCACAACTGCTGAGAACGAGTTTGTGGTGCTTAAGAAGGTGAGTCACGCACTACAAAATGATAGCTTCAATATTAGGCTTTATCTGTGCTTCAAGGGGAGTCCCTCTTGAATGGGAATTTGGAAGGATTGTAGGATCTGTGGGCTGATATTTGAAGTCCTTTGTTTTTAATTTACATAATGGAATAACACCATCACAGCTGTTACCCTCAGTACAAACTGTAATTTCCATGGTCCTGAAGGATTTCCAAGAGGAAATGGAATTATGCTCTGTGATCTTTCCTGTAGGATGTGGACTGTGCCTACATGACTAAAGTAGAGCTGGAAGCCAAGGTGGGAGCTCTGACTGACGAAATCAACTTCCTGAGGTGCATCTACGAGGAGGTAAGAGCTCTCCCTTCCCCTGGGCTGCCTGGAGTTGCAATGAGGTGTGTGGTGGCCAAAGACACTGAGGCTGGACTCGGTGTCCACGTGGGTTTGGCCTGGAGAGGCTGCCTGGAGTTGCTGCTCTTCTCTCCCCTCCTCACACGGTCAGGCTAACTCATGTCTTGGTTGCAGGAGCTGGCTCAGATGCAGACAATCAGCCGGGACCTGTCTGTGGTGGTGTCCATGGACAACAACCGTCACCTGGATCTGGACAGCATCATCGAGGAGGTCAGGCGTCAGTATGAGCAGATCGCTCAGAGCAGCAGAGCTGAAGCTGAGGCTTGGTACCAGAGTCAGGTGAGTTACAAAGTAGTTAAGGAACCCTGGGTGATGGCTAGAGTTTGCAGATAATTTATGAAAAAGTGAGACATCTCTTTAAGCTAATGATGCTGGAGCTCATGCAAGGAAGTCTCAAGAGGGACTGTGTTGCTTTTGAGGGGTCTGACTCACTGCGTTCAAGGTGTCCAGAATATCACTTTGGTGCATGGGAGAAGCCTCTCAACAGAGATGGCCAAAAATGTACCGTAACTAGAAAACGCCTACCCAAGGTAGCTTTTAAGAAGCCAAGGGATGCTCATTAGTGTGACTGAGATCTGTTTCAAAGCTCAAAACCAATGATATTTGAGTCTCGGAGCCATTTTTTACATTGAGCCGGGCATCCATGACCAAGGTGATAGATGCTTGTAGCAGCACATGAGCTATGATACTGCTGACAGATCTTGTCTAGGCACCAGGAATGTGTCACTGACGGGTTGCTTTGTCTTGGTGCCATCAGTACGAACAGCTGCAGAGCACTGCCGGAAGGCACGGCGACAGCCTCCGCAACACCAAGATAGAGATCCAAGAGTTGACCAGGAACATCCAGAGGCTGCGGGCTGAGATTGAGAACGTGAAGAAGCAGGTAGGGGTTGGCTAGTGTCTCACGGGATGCTGGCACCAGGGTGGATCACAAAGGACCATGTGTGGGGCAGAAATGGTTTCTTCAACCACCCCTTGTTTACTTCATGTACATGTTTTATTTTTTTTCCCTTGACTTCTCCACTTGGGGTTTGAGGGCTGATCCTAAGTGACAAAATGAGATCTGAGAAAGTGCCCTTTTTTCTTCTTCAGAACCAGCAGCTGCAGGCAGCTATTGCCGAGGCTGAGGAGCGCGGTGAGATGGCCCTCAAGGATGCCAAGATAAAACTGGAAGAGCTGGAATGTGCCCTGCAGAAAGACAAGGAGGAGCTGGCTCGCTTGCTGAAGGAGTACCAGGAGCTGCTGAACATCAAGATTGCGCTGGACGTTGAGATTGCCATGTACAGGAAGCTGCTGGAGGGAGAGGAGAACAGGTAAACACTTGGCCTCTGATTTGAGAGGGATGTTGAAATCTGGGCTGGACACCTTGAACTTTGACATTAGCAGCTTAATCTCAAGCCAGCTCCTTTGGTTAAAATGGCGAGATATGGCTATTGGCACTCTGGGTGACATTTTGGGTGGTCAGGACTGATAAGTGGCATACTCTGTTCACTGTAGGTGCTATAACCACCATTTCATTTCTGGTATATGCAAATTTTTTTAGCAAACCGGAAGTCTGGAAGAACCTGATCATGAAGATGAATTGTCAATGCCTGCCTTCCTTAAATACTTGAGCAATACCAAAGTTGCTGATAAGGGTGAAAGAGGAAAATGGTTTGATAAAGAAAATGCAGTTCTCAGTTTTTAAGATGTCTCTTTTGTTGGGTAATAAAAATTTACCAATTCCCTTTGCAGGCTGTGCAATGATGGCATGTCCAACGTGAATGTCTGTAAGTATCTGTGTTT